TTTATTTAGTGCAGGCCAGACTTGACCTTGGCCGTGAAGGGAGAACATAACGCCCTTTAGAGCTATGGAGCTGACACCAGGATTTGATCCATGAGACACAAACCGCTTGGCGCCACTTTTCAGAGGGCTCATAATTGCTCGCATTAAAAAATAACATCCATGACCGTCCTTTAATCTGAAAAGCTTTTCAGTGAACAATACTTGTTGGTTTAGTTAGAGCTGGAAATATGCCTATCAATATACATTTTCCCACATGAGAAAGACGATAGTAGATTTGTTTGCAAAGTAATATTGTTCACATTAGCTCGTCACGTGAGAAGCCTTTTGTTAGGCAAAATGTCATTATTAGCTATCATTTGGTAAGTGCTATTTTACCAACTAAATTTATCTCACGGCGGCCGATTTATTGGAGTTCAGAACCAGAAAACTGGAATTAAAGTTGTCTGGCATTTTCATGCGTGTACGGAATCGGCATGAACAGGGCTAAACAAGGGTTTTCTGACATCTGTATCTCATTTCTGCGAGCTGTAGCTACTCTGTTTCTGTTGCGTCACAACCTCCTGGGATGAGATGAATGGTCGCTCTGCGTGTATGCATAACTGCGCATCCTTGTACCTGTGCTTGGGCTTCTTCTGGAAGACAATTTTAAGTTAAAGGCCGATAAGATGTGACCACAAATCTTCTGATGTTCTTTTACGGATGGGTTTGAATTTAGAGAACATCCAAACTAGACATAAAATTATTGGATTTGAGATGAAGCCCGTAGTGCCACACAAATATGGTATAGACATAAAAACAGCCTACGACTCTTTTAAAAATGCTTCGATTTCAATGTTACTCTGTTCCAAAGGTTTCATTAGAAATTACCTCTCGTGTAAAAAGTGCACACGTTCTTTTAAAAAAGCTGAATGTGTTCCTACATCAAGGTTTCGTGTTGAGCTTATTTATTAGTAGTTTAAGGTTTGCCTTCCTATCTGACAAGTGATATGATAAACTGAAAACGTCCCACATGTACTCGTCGTAACCTAGCCCGAATTGTGATAATGTCTTTGATTCGCCATGTTTTAGATTGCTTTTGACAATGCCCAAACGCATTGCAACTGCATTAATATTGGCTGCATATGATTAACCAATAGCATAGTTAGCCTACAGAACGTATCCAATAATTGGTCTACGTCCATCCGATAGATTCGAGAGGGTCAATGACCTGTCCTGGTTATGAGCCGTCCAGGTCCTTGAACCTTCCGTATTAATGGTCTGGAGGTGTTCCTGCCAAGAAGAACAGTTTTAATCAGGACGCAGAGGAACAAATTGATTTCTGCGAAAGGGCTGGGCCACCAAAACATTGGAAGCGATTGAAAATAGCCACAGATCTGCTTCATCCCATCATATCCCCACTGACATTGGGTTCATCTCTGGCTTGCACACGACATAATTTAAACACTAGATGTAAAAGTTCAACGATTGATTTTGAACCTGGTAATCAAATTGCCCGACTCATGAGCCATTTGATAGAAATAACAGGAAGCGATCAACACAAAAAGGCTGGGCATGGGTGCTCATTTTAAAATGGAAACCATCAAAACCTGCTGGCCACATTTTGCCTGATTGTTGACACGAACATTCTAATTTGTGGATTGGGCACAGCTGCTGCTTTTTTAGATTCGTAAAGGAATGTGTGAGAACACGTGTAAGAAGAAGTGCGCAAGTGATGCGATGCCCAATGTGACAGTGATTTTTTTTTGTTGCATCATCATTCATTGGTTCGTCACGTAAGATAATGTGCTGGGCTATATAATGGCATTGCTCGTGTCTCCAGCCCTATAACCATTCCTTAATTAACGAAGTTAGTTATGGTTTTGACAGATGCAGCGTTTTCTTCATAAAAAAAATCCGATACCGGTGTCAGCTGAAGCACAGAGATAAGCAACTAACGCCAAGGATTTCGGGCTGATGCCGGCTACTGGTGCCGGCTACTGGCACCGGCTTCCATTGTGTCCCATGCTGGCAGACATATCCTGGCACTGACAGACCAGCAGGACACTTATAATGGCATATGTCAATCCACACACCACTCCAGTGCCGCTAACACGCCGACTCAGCACGGCCCGCGAGTACTTCAAGGCCCAGATGATGCATATATGGTCAAACCCTGCCTGAACGAAGGCTATACATGAAGTTTGGTGCTGCGAGAAACACAGATTTCCCACCAGCAATAATGACTTGCGTTTGCTCGATTTCTTAGAAGGCCCACGTTGATAGGTAACCAGGGCAATTTATTCAGCCATAATACAAATCATTGTTGCAAGAATTCCGGCCGGCTACATGTCAAAATGTTTCCAACATTTAAACAATTATAAAATTAATGATCGCCACCTCTAAGCTGAGATAAGGCGGCGCTACAATTGGCACTGCCCTTGCGACATACACAGGGGAAAGTTCCAACAAAGATTATTTTGCCTTCAACGCAACGCGGTCTTTTCTTCTGAACAGCCGAGCTCCCCGTATACCGTCTGATGCAGCTTGGATCATGATAATTTTCACTTCTCAGTTGAGCGCACGTAGTGACGTATTTTGTGCCCTTGCAGTTAGGGGCTGCAGTGCAACTCCAGGACCGTTTTATGCATATGCATATGTTGCAAAAAGTTCCATCTTCACCTAGTTGTAGTCCAAAATCATGTTCCATGCTCTCAAGACATGGCAAAAGTGCTTCTTTTCTGGCAGTAGACTTGTCTAAGAGCTGCAAAGTTTCATTCGATTCAAGTCCTAACCCCAAAGTTATTACCAGGGAAAGTAAAAAAAGGATGAAAGGAAAAAACGCATCTCGAGTAGCTTAATCTTCTCGGTTTTCAATTTTGAGATGGTAAACTGATGTCAATTGCTTACTAAGCTTCGCAGACAGGACGCTAACGATTTGGCGATATGTGATGTAGCATGGGGCAAGAGAAAAAGTGCCGTTAGTAAACGCTTACGGGAAAAAAAACTTGCTTCCCTTTTGCGAGAGAAAAAACACGTGCATTTGAAGCGCTCTACTTCCTACTTGCGGACACCATTTCGAATTGCCAGGTAATAATACATTCAGATTGCATATTCCAAGCTAAGCTTATTGCATATCATAAGAGTGACAAATTGCATCCAGACACTTGTTGCGTGATACACGCAATCGCCATCAGTACAGTGCATTATGCATTTCCGTCTTTGTCGAAAAGTGCCTGTCTTCATGGCTTCTTCATACCTTATATGGCGCATTGGTCGGTGAGCTCTAATGTGGTTGGAACAATGCTCACTGTTTAATCCTTGCTCGGATTCGGCGCTTTCTTTGCCTCGAATTGGCAATGGGATGCCATTGTCTCGCCAGTCCCAAACCAAGAAGGCCAGAGCCTCACACGACCAAAAACAAGTGAATGAGCCTCGGGAGGATCCTGTGATTAGTCACAAGTTTTATGCTAGTTGAACAGGATCCCAGCCCAGCCAGCATTCCTCAGGCGTGTTGACACGCAACATTGTAGGGCCGCTGTAGTTTGAGGCGCCCTCCCAATTTTTTTTTGGCTCTAAACAAAATACATGAGATTTCTGTAAATTGTCGCTATCAGTCCGCCTGCCATACACATCACGCGCGTAAATGTGATGACACGATGTGTTTTGGTTCATGACATTTTATGAGGTCATGAGGTTATTAGATTTGGTCTAAACTGGGATTTTTAATCCAACATACGAGTAGCTACGTTGTTCATGCTACACAGTGAAGGTAGAGAATTGATGCTACCAAACAACCTTTTCCAACAAAAAATGTGATGGACGGAATAAAGGTGCAATCTAAAGCTACGTAACATGTCAAATGCATCATGCGTGGCATGTAGATGTAGTGTTGACCCCGACCAGGTGCAACGACGTGCTACGGGACGTTGGTTTCTGAACAATCACTCGTGTTCTGTGCGTGCTCCGTAGGGGTACAGGAACGGGCAGCGACGGGGGTGGGTTGGAGAGGAGCAAGCTATTGGTATTTTTGCGCGATCTTGTCTGCAAGGCTTCCCACGAACTGGTAACAATCGCGAACACTTCTAAACTCGGTTGCTGATACGGGCAAACGAACCGTGTTATGATAGATGGAAATGCAACTTGAGATCGGGGACTGGATTTGGTGAGGGAGCCCGAAGTGCGTGATCAAAACCACGTTATACGCTGTCATGTAACCCGCTGCTCTGACCAGGCACCGGGGCAACACCCGCACCATGCGCAGCACCTCGGCCGGAGCAGACGCTTGTCATGGCAGACGCAGCCCGGTGACTGAATCTGTCTGGCTTCAGAAAAGTGGCGGCACTGAAGGACATAATCTGATGTGAATATTTCCTTTTCATAACATTCAGTAGCGTTACAGGTACTTACGGCGCACCCATCTGGCATCTATTGGCGTTTTCACTTAAAGACCTGTCTGAACATGTTCTCTCGAAGAATGTCACAGGACAACGTACAAGTTGACTCAGTTCGTGACCGTGTCCAAGAATGACTGCCTTATCGTTGATAGAACAGCTGCGCCATTGTCGCTGGATAAAAAATAAACAGCTCCGCAACACCTATGATTTCGGAGGACGGCTTCTTCGGCGCTCGCCTCAATCTAAAGGTTACACAGGTGTAAACAGAGCATTTTGATGTTACCCACAGCCGTTGACGGTCAGTTTTGTACTGAGCTCAACTTAATATGGTTGTCTATACCCACCGTCTTCTTTATGATACAGGATTCCACGCCCATTGAAAGTAGCGGTAGAAGCATCCGTCACGTGTGAAGACGGCACAACGCTTTGAACTGGAAGATCCGGACAATCTCGATGCACGATATATTCTGCAGCTGCGCTCACGTGTACTGGATTATACCGGATACAAATCAGGTATACATCATTCTCACACTTTTGTGACTAACGCACGTGGTACGCTCACACGTAAAGCTTTTCGAGCCACGATCAAATTAATTTCCGTCCTACACAAAGAGTTGACACCCCCACCTGGGTGTCTCTAACCAGCAGTCCCTGCATTCCATTGTGCTCACACATTTGCACGATGCATTATTGAGATATTCCTTTGATCCATCCGATCCAACACATTTAGCTGTAATCCACTTTTTTCTTGATAACGCCAACACACAACAAAAGGAACAAGAGCGACGACTTGCTGCAAAACGGCCCACCACAGCGCACAGCCCTCCGCCGCCGAGAGTGCACCAAGATGGGAGCAGGCACAGAGGCTGGGGCGGCCTCATGGCCGACACCATCCCACGTATCCCCCCAGGCCGGACAGCGCCGTCAGTGTCTGAAGCAATGCTCAACACTGCAGCACCTGCACCAGGTGACGACATTGACGCAGGCTCTTGCAAAAGCGCACAACGCCGCCTCGTCGCGGTGCTACGCGCGTGACGCAGAGAAACCGCACAGCACCACTGCGCGACGGCAGAGTCGCTGAGAGCACCAGACCGGCGCCACCGGGAGGCGACACAGCGCCCCACGCGCCCTGCGCAGCGCCGCTGCCTGGCGTCGGGCGTGATGCGTCCGTGGCGCCGCCTCGCCGCAGTACAGTCTCTGACACAGTGCCGGAGTGGGCCGAGCGAGAGGAGCTGGTGTCGCGCCGTGCCCGCGGCGACCCCCGCCTCGGCGACAGGTCAGCCGCGGCTGGTCAGTCGTCCAGCGCGCTCGGCGACTGTTCACGTCAGCGTTCCGACCGGTCGCGAGGTCCCAGCCGGGCAGAGCGCGTGGCGTCCCCTGGCAGTGCATATCACTGTTTGTGCTTCACCTCCAGCAGCTGCGGATAGTTCTCCACGATGCTGAGCAGGATGCCGTCGATGTACGTGCGCAGCTGCTTGTTCACGTCCTGCTGCTCCAGCAGCGACTTCTTCAGCTGGAACGGAGGACACCTGGGTCACGCTTCAGCACCGCCAGGCCATGCAGGTTACACTGTCGGGGATTTTGCGCGGCGGAGTAGGTGCATTTCACCGAACCTTTACATGCGAACGGTGTATGACTTGACGGCACACCGCGAACAGGTGGCCCACCAGCTCCTTCGCTATTTACACGTTTTACGTCATTGCCATCGTGGCGGGCTGATCTCAACCAACCGATACACGGATTTTATGCAGAGAATCACCAAACGCTGAACACGTCGTCGTAGTCGTAGAAGCACACCTTCCACAATCGCGGTGCACACACCCCATTCAAACGTTTCTGCCATACATTGCAAGATGCATTCATGCAGCGTGCCAACAGCAGTGCGATGTTCAGCAAACATTAAACAAGCGTGCCATAAGGTCAGGGTCAAGCTTACGGCGATGCAAACCAAACACAGCGGGCACGCAAGGTCTATGTGTGACACATAAGCCTGTCATGCTGCCTCAGTGCACAGCACCACCGCTATGGATTGGTGACCAAGTATATCGGGCCAAAAGCCGCTGCTCCCTGTGCGTTGAATGCGCGTGCAATCTTGCATGGGGGGAGGGGGGGGGGGGGGGCGGTGGTCGTCAAAAGTGGTGTTGTGTTAGTGTTAATAGAAAGCTCGTACAACCGTAATCATATCTGCGTCCCCTCTCACCTTTTGCAACGTTTCACCACTATCGACCTTGAAAAAGACAGTTTTATATCAACGCATGTCGCACAAAGAATGTTATCATGCTTTAATGTTTCAGTCGTTGAACAGTGTAGGATTTGTTACGTCATGAGTCATTTAAATTTTAGACGCCCGCATGCCATGTCAAAGACTATATCTAGAATAGCCTCTAAGCCTTGTCTATCTAGGTCTTCACGGGCAATTACTTCCCTTTAAATGTCGGATGGACGTGTTCATAGATCAATATCGTCATTATTCACGTCGTATATTCACAACGAGCTTGAAACGAAAAAGCCCGTGTGTGTTCACCTCCCGGGCTGCCTACATGCTGCGCCATGGCTGGCAGGGCAAGTCTCAGATGTAGATTAAAAACCATTCGCGGCACGAGCCGTTCTGAAGGCGTCAAAAATCCCCAGTATCTGAAGGTGTAAAAGTCCCCAGTATCTGAAAGTGTAAAAACCCCCAGTATCTGAAGGTGTAAAAATCCTCAGTATCTGCCCACGGCAGCGAAATCGTTTGTCGTGACGCACGCTTTCCGATCATTTTAGCCGCAGCTTCTGCGAGAAAACTGGGAGATTGAGCATAGTCAAATTATGGGATGAAATTCAGCGATAATGAAAACGCTTGTGGCCCAACTGCAGTCTAATGGTAAGAAAGGGCGGTACTTAAAGCGCAACGACTAAAAGGTGCATGACAACGCATGTAAGCAAATAAAACCGCTCGGTAGCAGTAAACAGAACTGCAATTGTGGAACTGTTCACCCGCCAAACAAATCGATAATGCTGGTCGAGGTAGCAGTCATATAGCATGGACACTCACGAACACATTTAGGTGCTTAGTTACAACGAACTTCGGCAAAAACAAAACAAATTTAAATGTTCCTTCCTTTGCTGAAGATATGTCCACCAATCGATGTCTGACATTCTTTGGCTGTCTTTTACAGGGCGATGACCGGTACACCTTTATGGTAATGGTAACGTGCGAACAACAGCGGCTGGTCCTGAGTGAGAGAACAAAAGAACGAGGCTCTTTCTCTCTCCATTGAAAATAAGACTCAGCGCCTTAAACGACACACTAATACCCACCGCACACCGGTCATCACCCTCCAAACAGATAGCAAACCCATTCACATCCAGCAGAGATAAATAAATGCTCCCTGGACATCCTCTGATCTAGTGGATTTCCTCCACGTGGCCCGCCGAGTACGCACCTCCTCTCCCGACATGTCCTCCAGCTCCAAGGCCAGGCTCTTGGGTCCCGACTCCAGCAGCTGTCGGCCCTCTTCTAGGCCGTTAGAGAGCAGCTGCGCCTGCAGCTCCTCGTTGCTCTCCTGCAGCTCTGCGGGGAGGGGGGAGGGGGGGGGGGGCAGTCAGCAGAGGCGGCAGGCGCCGCAGTCTGGAGATAATGACGTCACCGGGGGACGACGCCCGGGCGGCCTGCCCTTGGCCTCAAAGTGAAGCCCGCTGGATTGCGAATGTTAACCAAATCCGAAAGAGAGAAACCTGAGTTTTTCGACCCCGCAAACTCTGCCTCACCCCCTTGCATCCCCTAAGCTAAAAGCTCACCGCGACGCCATTACGGCTCTGACCGAACAACACCTGCGATAGCAACGTAGCATCGTAGCAATTTTTTTTGCGTAGTGATTGTTGAAGTGATTTAAGCAATTTAAGCCGGCTTACCCCCCAAACTGCTGTGGGTGGCGCAGCGTCAGCATGGTGAGCTTCATATGCCTCTGGACGCACGACCACACACGATCGACACGAGAGGATGAAGTCCTACTCGGTGTGAGTACCCACCCACACGGCACATCATTGACAAGCGAGGATGCTGTGCTGCTCGATGTGAATGCCCACCCACACAGCACATGATCGGCACGAGAGGCTGGAGTCCTGCTCGGTGTGGGTACCCTCCCACACGGCACATGATCGGCACGAGAGGTTGAAGTCCTGCCCAGTGTCGGTACCCACCCACACGTGCTGCTCCAGAGGAGTGAGGGAACGAAAGCAAATACTTATTTGGCCGGTTTGATGGTTGAACTGCAAGGATGCAAAGACCGGCAACCACGTAAAATCTGTCTGCACAAGTGCTGAGCAAGACATCTGAGCCCTATTTGAAACAATGATTCGTCTTGTCCGCATCTGTTCGTCTATGATTCATTCACCCCGCTATCCCCTCATCAATGTCCCCACACATGCCTACTTCAACAGTGGCCTTCACGCCAGCCATCGCGTCACGTGACACCCAGCAGAGTACGGGACGCCTGGACTCATCACTCAGTCACGAGTCCGCCCTGGACTCATCACTCAGTCACGAGTCCGCCTCGTCGCCGGGGCCGTCACCTGGGCCGTGGACCCGCTGACCCCTGCTGACCTTTGTTCCGTTGGCGCAGCTCCCGCAGCTCCGTCTCCAGCTCGCCCTGGCGCAGCCGCATCACGCCCGACTCGTCCGACTCGGTCTTGAGGCGCAGGCTGGCCTGCTGGCGCGTGTCCTCCAGCTCGCTGGAGAGCTCGGCCACCATCTGAGGTCACGAGTCAGAGGTCAGGTCACGGGAGAGCTCGGCCATCATCTGAGGTTAACAGTCGGAGGTTAGGTCACCACAGCTCGGCCACCCCCTGCGGTCGTCAGTGGTCAGGTCACGGAAGAACTTGGCCACCCTCCGAGTTTATCGGTCAGGGGTCAGGTCACGGAAGAGCTAGGCCATCCCTTGAGGTCAACGGTCAGAGGTCAGGTCACGAAAGGGCTCGGCCGCCCTCTGAGATCAGCAATCTGGACACGGGTGAGCTCGACCACGGCGTTAGGTCGACAGGTCAGAAATACAGGGAACTTGATCACCATTTGATGGTCTGCCACGCCGACAGGCTGCCTCAAAAAAGAGCTCCGGCACCGTTTGAGAAAGATACAGATCTTAGGCCGTAACACAAGATGTTCATGAGGCCAGGGTTTAAGCAAGGCTGGTCAGGTCTCACTAAACCATACTGCCAGAGGCCGCAAAGAAGTTCGAACAAAGTTTCACGACGGTAATGGGCACGGCTGGCTGAAGAGTGATCCCTTTTACGCCAAAATTGCCCCAAGGCGAATTAGTTCCGAGCCAGGAGTCGGCTGCGCTTCAACTTCCACGACGCAATTAAAACGGAAGTCCAGCTCTCTGCTAGCTGCTGCAGTGCCGCGCATGAATACCCGCCGCAGGTCTCTGACCGCGCCGCCCCACACTCCGCGATCCACACCGAAGTGCCGAAGCGCAACACTCACACTTCTCCCATCCCCCTCCCAGCCATCATCACGCCCCCCTTCCCCTACCCTTCCACTGACCTGCGACTGGAGTGTGCGCTCCTGCTCCAGCTCCTGACGGCCGCGCCGCTCCAGGTCGGCGGCACGCCGACTCTCCAGGCGCGCCGCCTCCAGGCCCGCCTCCAGCTCGGCCAGCCGCTCCTCCAGCTGCGCCCGGCCGGCCGCCGCCGCCTCCAGCTGCTGACGCGCGCGCGCCGCCTCCGCCTCGGCGAAGCGCACCTCCTTCTCCAGACTCTGCAGCCTGGGACGGAGCGGGAGCGGTACGGACCGTCAGGTCGGCCCCTCAGGATGTGAAGACTGAACGGAGTGAGGTGATGTGGCGTACGGGGCTTCGCGACTCGCGGATATAACTGCGGCCTTCCTCCACCTGGCTCTGGCTCTGGCTCTGGCCCTGGCTCTGACTCTGACTCTGACTCTGGCTCTGACTCTGGCTCTGGCTCTGGCTCTGACTCTGGCTGTTGCTGGAGTCACTTGGCTCTAATGTCATAAGCGGCGGGATGAGATTGAGAAAGAAAACACCTCCTTTCACGACCGCCGCGTCCAATGGATCAGAATACCGTGAAAACGGAACGCATTCACTGTTCCAGATCCTGAAGTCGAAGCCTTCGCACCTGGCTTGCAGCCAGATTCGAGTGTTTTTGTGGACGACGCGATGACCCCCGCAATCGAGTGGATATAATCATAGTGATTGGATGCACTGGCCACAGCAAATCAGACATAATTAATCAAACAAACCACGTTTCGCCCCGGTTTGACCGCACACGGGTGCAGTTAAAAAACGGCCTTAATGGAGCACTGTTGCACAGTTCAACCCACATCAGTAACATGTTCATGTACTCAGGCCTACCGACTCTAATGACGCAATGCAAGTAGTGGAGACCAAAAATCCGAAATTGAGACCATGACATACAACGGGCTTACTATACAAGAAAAGCACACACTCAGCGCTGGCACATGCCTGTGTGCCCAAGGGAGTCGTGAGGGTGTGATACGACTGACCTGATGGTCTGGTTCTCCAGCTCCAGCGTCTTCTCCCTCTCCAGTCGCTGCATCAGCTCCTTGTGTCGTCTCCGCTCCGAGTCCAGCTGCTCCTCCGAGCGCAGCTCCACCTCGCGCAGCTGAGACGCCCCGGAAGATCAGCACCGCACACACACACTACAGCACGGCCACAAACACACCGGACGATCAGCACGGTCACTAACACACCGGAAGATCAGCACCACACATACACACTACAGCGCGGCCGCTAACACACTTGACGGTCAGCACCGCACACGCACACTACAGCACGGCCACTAACACACCGGACGATCAGCACCGCACACACACACACACTACAGCACGGCCATTAACACACCGGATGATCAGCACCGCACACACTACAGCACGGTCACTAACACACCGGATCAGCGATCAGCACAGCACACACACACTACAGCACGGCCACTAACACACCGGACGGTCAGCACCGCACACACACACTACAGCACGGCCACTAACATACCAGAAGATCAGCACCAAACACACTACAGCACGGTCAATAACACGAAGCTGAAAAATACGAAGCTGTCTGTCGTGAGACAACTTGACACATAATTTGATACACGATAGACATGTCATCGGCATATATGTGACATTTGAGTACGGATTAGAGTATAATGGGTATTGAATTTATACAGTGCGCACTAGACATAAAATGAGGATGTTTTTCCAACCCCAGCGTGTCATTCGGCCGCATCACGACGTACCCACCACCGACAAGGTCGCTACAAGGATGTCTCGAACCCACATATCTCTCTAGCGTGAAAACGCAGTGGTGCATTCATAACGGCAACGGCTCCACCCTATCCACCAGGTACCTTCAGTGACACGCGGCGCATCATGCTGATCTTACATTAGCATCCGACGATGCTGCTAAATCATCCAAAAGACATCCCAATGAAGGAACTACAGCTGAAATTGCGGTCTGGCAAGATCCTTGGACACAGGTGTTTGAGGGTTGTATACCCAGAACACCGTCCAAATAAAACACATTGCAGAATATACGGAGTTCTGAAGACAGGCTGTAAGCACTGCCTTATCGTATGCCCTCCATAAAAACAGATCTACCTCCTTCCTCCAAAACTGTATTTTTCTCTAGTCCATCTCAGCCAAATGATACTTACTAATTTGGGCGATGCTGCCAGTCCTTGTAGCCCTGGGCAGTGTTTGAAATTTACAAATTTTGAAACAAAATTTACTTCTTTAATGAACAATTATCCGGACAACTTTTTGTGTCATTCATGTTTTAGGTAATAGTCAGTTACCTTTCGCACTTAAATACCCGATTTTTTTATTACTTTCCAATCGAGGAAGCTGGGCGAAAAATGTGACAGCGGGTCTAACGTTCCCACGTCACACCCCAGGCACAGCGCGACCCGTCCCTGACCTGCTGCTCCAGCATGATGAGGCGCGCCTGCAGACCCGTCACACCCCAGGCACAGCGCGACCCATCCCTGACCTGCTCCTCCAGCATGATGAGGCGCGCCTGCAGACCGGCGTTCTCCTCCTTGCTGCGCGTGTACCGGTCATCGTTGTTGTTCTGGTTCTCCGCCAGCACCGTCACCTGCCGCTCCAGCACCTGCACCTGGCGGCACAGTCAGGGGTCAGGCCACCTGGAGCAACAGGCCAGCCACCACTCGTGCATGTGCTCAGGGTCAAGAAAAAAAGAGAGGTCAAGTCAAGCCGACAGTTAGGTCAAGGATTAGGGGACCTTCTGGTGAAATCAAGTCGTGGCTAGATGGGGGAAAAAGGTCGCATTACAGTGTACTACCTCTTTTGAAGTGTGCAGTCAAGGCCGACGTCAGGCCGCAGGTTCATGGGAAACAGCCAGTTTCTTTAAGTGATACTGTAATTCAAGCGACATTATGTTCGCACCGTACACATGCATTGGCACCCAACAACTTTCTTGTGCTTCGAACGACGTCTTTCAGGCATTGTTGATAACGAGTTGATAAGATCAAACAGTCCCAGGCTACGTGATCATACGGTGCAGGTTAACAAGAGCCCGCTGTTTCACGTCAATAGCACTAAAAGGAGATATGTTGAACGTTAAGCATATTATGTGCAGACATCTCTCATTCAACACGAGTCGCGCGATGACACTTTAGCCAGGGCTCAACAAGCTAAAGGGGGAGTAGAGAAAGGCGTTTCGCAGCATTCCGCACACGTCACATCACATCACGTCACATCTACGCGATTTATCAGGTCATTAACCGTAACAAGACAAACCAGAAAAGCTGACACCACAGCTGGCGGTGAGGTACAACGCACGACTTTAAGCTAAGCAGGCCGTTGGATCGGGTCATAGGAACCTATTTCAGTCACGTGGATCACTCAATGTCACTCTCAGGGCCCTATTGTTGGATTGAGAGAACCTGCTTAGACTGGGGATCGTCTTCCTATGCCTCGATGGGCTGTTTTTGTGTGTTATAAGCCCTACGGAAGTCTTGAATTCCCAAAAGCGCCAGACCCTTTGACCCAAAGGGGCCCCATCCGCCGCCCCATGGAGGGGGGGGGGGGGGGGGGGGAGAAAATTCGTCTTGGGCGCGCACTGCGAACGATCAAGGTACCGTCATTTCGTTCGGGCTGAGAACCCGAGCCATTCTCATAGAGACGAACAAAGCCGCCCACCCAATGCGGATGGAATGAAGCGTTCGTGGGTGTAATCGCCTGCTCATCGAGCTTATGATATTAATCATTTGAACGGGACAGCGTACACATTTCATCTTCACCGCGCCTTGAGATGCTTCAGTTTAATACACCTGACTAACGAACAGCTTACACCTGCCTTAGAGAAAGCGCTCAAGTTATGGCATCGTGTCTCGTAACTATGCTTTCAGCTGCAGTAGCTTCACCGGAAAAGCGTCACTGAGTCTTCTCGAAACAACTTACAGTAAATTTCGGCATGAGTTTCCTGCGCATTACGAGTGTACGATTTTCCTGGTATGGTAACACGCTGCTCGGTGGGCATCTCACCGCAAGCCGCCTGCAAAGCCTCTCTGAGCAAACATCCCACATCCATTTCGTGTGTGGGCAAATCCTCGGCACCAGTGACGTCACGGCCGCACAGTACGCCAGCATACGCACGGCGCGGATGTGACCAGCGAACCTCGATCGGAGAGTCGGCGCAGTCGCCGCAGGGGACGCAACCGGCGCCGACGCTGTCCGCCGGAAGACGCGTGAGTCACCGCAGTCGCAGACGGGACGTGCCGCCCCGTCTAGTGGCGGTGACGCCAGCTTCTCAACCGCCGACTCGGGTTTCTCAGGGAGTGGCCAGCGGCAGCGCGAGCGGACCCGACCTCGTTTTGGCGGGAACTTGGCTACCTACAGTGACTACGACTTCACTTGGTGTACGCGGAGCTTTCATGGCGGACTGCCGCGAGACGCATCCGGCAGGAAAGCAGTCGTCGCTGCCCATGAGCTCTGAGATCCGCGAGGCAGGTGCGCCAGTTAGAGCACCAGAACTCGGGATCCCACGCGCCGCCCAGCTGGCACCTGTCCAGTGGATCAATCGGCCTCAGGTCGGGTTTTGACGCGCCCTTGACGCCAGGCCGGGACCCAGGGGACTCACCCCCGCCACCCAACACGTTTACTTTGGGCGGCAGCTCACCTGCCTCATCACAATATGTGGTCACATCGACACTTCTTATCTTAGGCGATCATGATGCATCAACGTCACGTCCCGTCATCTCCATTCCGATGGGTTCGTAACCGAACCATCGCTCGACATCCGCGCACGCCAGTACCGGGTCCTGTTTTACCAAATCAGGCCAGCAGGTAGGGGGGGTGTCGGCAGCTGGCGTGTCGGCAGCCAGTGGCATCAGAGTGGGGAGCGCTGAGGAAATAGTGGCGGGTTGAAGCGTCCCATGGCAAAATGTACTAGATCCCAAGCCCCCTGGTCAACCCTCCGGGTACCTCAAACATGATTTTTTTTCGGCGGATTTACCCAGCATCATGTTTTCATTCGAAGGTACCGGCGGCGAGGTGGTATAGGCCGAGCAATCTGCCGCAGATAGAAGCCTCCAACGACAGTCAGCTACTCCCTAGGCTCTTCAAAGCTGCAGACCGCTACTGCCACGGAAACACACACCGCCACTCACTTTCTCCAACGTGTCCAGGTGCCAGGAGAAGACGTCGCCTTCAGCCGGGCCAGCACCGAGGAAGCTACACTGGCCCTCCCACCAGTCGTACTCCAGGTCGGGCTCGGCGTCCCCGCGGCCCTCACCGCCCTCCGAGCCGAGCTCCGTACCCTCCCGCCGGCGAGCGCGCCAGTTTCGGCGCACGCATGGCGCGCAGGAACTGCCGCAGGTGCGGCGAGACGGCCGGCGCGGCCGACGCCGACCGGTTACCGGTCGCGTGCGCCGGGTCGTCCGGGTCGAGGTCGCTGACGGAGCGCAGGTCACCGACCGACGAGACCAAGTCGTCCTCGAGGCCACTGTCCAGGTCCGGGTGGTCGGACGTGCTGCAGGGCCGCGCCATGACCTCCGATCCCAGGGTCACGGGTGAGGCCGCACAACGCGGGCCGCGGCTGACCTCTGGCCGCACGGTCACAGAGCGGGCGTCCGACACGGGTTGGCGTGAGATGAGCGTCTCCTGCGTTGGATGCCGTGGGTGCAGACCAGCTCCTGGCCGCATACGCCTCGGCCACGGGAGATTCCGACCCTTCTCAGGTCAACTTCTCGTCACGGCGACGCTCGAAACTGCACCGTTCCCGAGCACTGGTCTCGCCTGGTTCACCGGCCGCCGCCGCTGGACAACACTGCACTGCGGCTGGAACCCGCTCAGACGAGCACCGCTGACGATCGCCGGCGCTGACGAACCCGCTGACGACCCGACACGCCGCCGACCTGACCTGCCGCTGAGTCTGCTGATGGTCTGTCTCGAAAAGCGACGGTTCTTCTGACGCTCCGGAAAGGCGAGGATCACAGGTCCCGCTGCTCCGCGGCGCCGTCGCCCGCGGCGGCCGCGCGTGAAAACTCACAGCCCCGCCCTGGGTGTCGGCAAATATTTAGCCTCGGGCGCGGATGAGGTCACGACGTGGACGGCTGCCAGCGCCCGAGGGCGGAAACAGAGGACTTCCCGATGAGAGCGCCGCCGCCTTCCCCCAACCCTCCCACCAGTTACGTCCCAGAGGCAGAGTTTTGTCCCAGAGATTAAGTGCTGGTCACAGTGAGACGGATGCAGAGTTCGTAGAGATCGTGAACTTGGCGTATTGAATAACTAACGTACATATTCATATTTATCCCGCCTGGTCCTATCTTCGTAATTCCTGGTACTGGTCAAGGTACCTGTTTTATACGTAGATATCAAAACCTCATTAGTTTGAAGTTCGGGATGCTCGGGAAGACTGGCTGGGTCCCAAATGATTCTCAGAAATGTAACAATGTCCGGTCTGTTCCGGCTGGCGCACGCTTCAGACCTCTTCTCAAGAGCGACTGCGCGGGCGCCGAACTGCCAGCCACCTTGGACTGGGTTCCCTGGCATCTGACTCGCCGGCGCCGCCCGTCAACACCTCCCGTGCCAGAGATCGCGCTCCTCATACCGATCTCCGGCGGCGCCTAGCGGTGCTCAGCCGTCGGCACGGCCCGAGGTCTCACTCGAGACACGGCTGTCCCACGGGGCCGGGTTAGATCATGGTCTGACACATCTGTGTGCTCGCCGACCCCTCTGACGGGGGGCATGCTCAGCTCAACCGCGCCCCTCGTGATGACATCACCTCGACGAGAATAAATAAACCCAGGAGGGAGCGGGACGGGCCGCCACAGGCAGTTCTCCATCAAACTGGCCGGCTGCACGAGGGCATTGTGAGGAAATGTGACTGGCAAGAGATCTCTGACTCCGCAAATGCCCACGAACTAATGGGCTGCTTAATGCTTGAAATTTATCATACCTGAACAGCTACGCTTTATGTAGAAGTGTGAACGTATGAACAATATAGTACCCACAGATAGAAGCATTATGAAGCAGCCATTGTGCAATTTCGGGCACGCAGGTAGTTCATGCCTGCATTTCATGCAAAGGTTTACTCGGGTGGTGAAATAAGCAGAGCCTGGTTCCAGCCAGAGTCCAGATAAGCCAATAGCTGACACGAAGCGCCGCAAAAGACACCTCCTGCGCCAGCAGCGTCTGCTCGGTGACCCTTGAGCGCACGGCCAGGCCAGGCCACGCTGAGCAGCGACACCAACTCACCCCCCGGTGAGTTGTGTCGTATCGATGGTCAGTTTACACGAACAGTAACGGGTGAGGCAGACTCCAAAGCCCCCCCCCCCCCCCCCCCGCTGCGCTGCCGGCCTCAATCTCTAGGCGGGGTCCAGCGCCTTGGACGCTTCCCAAATCTGGGTGGCTTTGTTTAGAACTATCGGTCTGGTGTTTAAACAACTTGCCGGCGCTAGCAGACTCGGGCGCCGCTGTTAAAAGCGCACTCTCACAAACGCTGGCGGCTGTATTGCTGCGCTGAAAAGCGGTGAATCTCAGGCCGGTCGGATGGCTTGGTTTAGAAGCCCTCTTACTTTCTAGACGTAGATTTGCACGTGAAGCGTGCGGTGTTTCAGCATGCAGTCGCGTAGGTTGAGGAGTCCAAATGTC